TTGTTGGACCAAAAGGCCTGTTTCTATGCTGTATGACTCTATGACTCTGTCTATATTTCCCGATAACTCGGGAAAGCAGCCAACATAATCAAGAACTCCCCCCACTCCCCCCATTTGGCAGAAGACACAAAAGTGTGAAAACATTTGCCAACAGATTTAAGAACAGCTTCTTCCCCACTTATGAAAGGACCTTTCATATATTAGAGTTAATTGTTCATAGAATCCCTACAGTGTGGAAACAAACCCTTCAGTCCAACAAGTCCACACCAACCCTTGGAGCATCCCACCCAGACCCATCCCCCTAAAACCCACCTAATCTACACATCCCTGAACATTACAGGCAATTTAGCATGGCCCATCCACCTAATCTGCACATCTTTGGACTGTGGGAGGAAACTGGAGTACCCAGAGGAAACCCATGCAGACACAGGGAAAACGTGCAAACTCCACACAAACTGTCGCCTGAGGGTGGAATTGAACCCGGGTCCCTGGCACTATGGTGCAGCAGTGCTAACCACTGAGGCACCATGCTGCCCAATTGTTCTCTGCACCTTCTCTGTAGCTGTAACACTATATTCTACATTCTATTTTATTGCACTGATGTACTTATGTAAGGTGTGATTTGTCTGGATAGCACACAAAATAATACTTTTCACTGTATCGCAGTACATGTGACAATAATAAATCAAATCAAAGAGGGATTGCTATAAACGTTATAGACTTCTTAAAGTGAGGATCTACAACTATCTGAATGTGGACTGGAATAGTGGCAGAAGGGAAATGTTCCCACCATGCAATTCCCTTTGCTTCCGTATGTAACCAAGCTTTTTAGTTCCAAATTGTCCCCAATTCCCATTTTTTGCTACTTTTTTTCCTTTGTGTCCATGGAAAACTTTAGGATTCACTTTAATGCTGGCAGCAAATCTCTTTGCATATTCCCTCTTAGATTCTTCTATTTGCTTTTCTATCAATGGGTGGGAATTTCTAAGGAGTAGCTATCTCAAACAGATTATCACTTTGCTCCTTCAGTACTTGCAATGAACGAGCTCCACCTTTCTGTCAGGAGATTCTGAATAGGGCTCCATAAGAAATATGGAGCCATACTTCCATTGTTCCATTACTCAGGGCAGAACAATCAGGGATAGGTAAACCACACTTGCTATTTTACAACAGTTGTCCTATGCTGAAATCTAAAGGACCAGCAACACAGACAGTGACATTGACAGCTCCTATGAAAGGGTAATGTGGGGGGAGGGGAGGATACCAGGTGGCAAGGACGACAGGTAAGTGATGGAGTGTTTTAAGTAGGATCGGAGTCAAGGCAAGATATTGAGGCCGGAATAGAGCAGGGATTGTGGTGTCTGGTCCCAGAGGGATTAGAGGATATTGATTCCTGGGAATGGGGGTGGGGCTGGCAGCAAGAGAGTGATGTTTGGGTGCTAGGGAGGTAGGGCAGCGGTGTTGAGTCAGGAGCAGGGAGAGGCAGGGTTGGGTTCAGCAGGAGGTGATGGGGAGATCAGATCTGATGGAAGGGCAGTATGTATTCAGGTCTAGAGCAGTAAAACAGGGGTCAAGTTCTGGGGGATGGTGTTGAATCCTGATCTGGCTGTGGGGCAGAGTGATTCAGGTCTGATGACAGAAGAGTTTGGGAATTGGTCTAGCAGTATGGGAAAGGGCATTGGGCTCAGAGCAGGGAAAGGGATTGGGTCTCAGAGGATAATGATAAAGGTCTAGGGGGAGGTATATTTGGGTGTGTGTGTATTACGTTGGGAAGGTCAGTTTAGTAGTTACTTATGTGTTAGATCAGGTATTTAATGCATTATCTTTCCTGATTAGTTGTTTACTAAATGCAGTAGAATTGGTATCTTTGCTTTATTAATATGCATTAATAAACAATTGTCTCTTGGTGTGCAGAGGGCAATTTCATACTTTGTGAATGATTCAAAACTTTGAAGCTTTGTAAACTGTGAGGAGATCAAAAGGAGACTGACAAGTTATTGGAGTGAACAGATAGATGGCAGTTCACTGCAGAAGAGTGATACATTTTGATACAAAGAACAGGGTAATTTGGAATAAACAAAGGGCCCAAATCTAAAGGAGCGGAGTAAACTGAGTATATATGTGCGTAAAGTCATTGAAGGTGGCAAGACAAGTAGAGAGCAGTTAATAAAGCAAATGGAATCCTAAACTTTATTAATAAAATATAAAATGCAGAGTACAAGTGCAAGATGGTTATACTGTACTTGTTTAAGACACTGGTTAGAGCTCAGCTGGAATATTGTGTTCTGGAGCCACACCTCAGGAAGGATGTGAATGAACTGGAGAGAGTGCAGAAGAGGGTTACACAAGTTTGATTTGATTTGATTTAATTTGTTGTAGTCATGTGTACCTAAGTACAGTGAAAAGCTCAGTTTGCAAGCAGTACATGCAGATCATAGCAAGCAAGGACATGTAGATCATAAGAGAGATAGTAAGAATTGCAGATGCTGGAGTCAGAGATAACCCGGTGTGAAGCTGAAGGAACACAGCAGACCAGGCAGCATCAAAGGAGCAGGAAAGTTGACATTTCAGGTCGGGACCCTTCTTCAGAAATCGAGGGGGGGGAAGGGAGTTCAAATAAATAGAGAGAGGAGGGGTGGGGCTTGGGAAGGTAGGTGGGATGGTGATAGATGAGTGCAGGTAGGGAGTGGTGGAGATTGGTCAGTGACGTGGGAGGAGTGGATAGGTGGGAGAGAAGATGGACAGGTTGTGTCAGGTCAAGGAGGTGGGGATGAGAGGGAGGGTTGGTCATGGGATGAGGCCAGGTGTGGGGAGATTTTAAAACTGGTAAAATCCACATTTCGGCCATCGGGCTGTAGGTTCCCAAGGTGGAATATGAGCTGCTGCTCTTCCAGTTTCTGGGTGGCATCACAGTGGAGGAGGCCCAGGATGGACATGTTACCCAGGAGTGGGAGGGGGAGTTGAAATGGTTCACGACTGGATAGTGTTGTCGTTGGTCGCAAACAGAACGCAGGTGCTCTACAAAGCGGTCTCCAAGCCTCCGCTTGGTCTCACCAATGTAGACGATGCCGCATTGAGAGCAGCGGATGCAATTGACCACATTGACGGATGTGCAGTTGAATCTCTGTCTAATGTGGAAGGTTTGTTTGGTTCCTTGAATGAAGGTGAGGGGGTAGGTGTAGCACAGGAAAAGTGCTGGATGTGATGGGGTTAGTGGGGAGTGTGGAATGGACGAGGGACTCGCGGAGTGTGCAGTCCCTACAAGAGGCAGATAGGGGTGGGGAGGAAAATATCTCTTTGGTTGTGGGTTTGGATTGTAGGTGGCAGAAGTGGGGGAGAATGATACATTGGATACGAAGGTTAATGGGGTGATACGTGAGGACAAGGGGGATTCTGTCTTTGTTTTCATTGGGGGAGGGGATGTGAGGGCAGAGGTGCGGGAAACGCAAGAGATGTGATTGAGAGCATTTTCGACCACCGAAGGGGGGATGTTATGGTCCTTAAAATAAGAGGACATCTGGGACGCTCAGGAGTGGAATGCCGCATCTTTGGAGCAGACACAGCGGAGGCGGAAGAATCAGGAGTAGGGGATTGCATTCTTGCAGGAAGGTGGGTGAGAGGAGGTGTAATCTAGGTAGCTGTGGGAGTCGGTGGGCTTAAAATAGATGTCAGTTTTGAGGCAGTCACCAGAGATGGAGACAAGAGACATCCAGGAAGGAGAGGGAGGTATCAGAGATGGTCCAGGTGAATTTGAAATTGGGGTGAAAGGTATTAGTAAAGTTGATGAACTGTTCAAGCTTCTTGTGGGAGCACGAGGCAATGCCGATACAGTCATCGATGTAGCGGAGGAAGAGGTGGGGGATAGTGCCAGTGTAGCAGCGGAAGAGGATATGTTCCACATATCCTAGATATAAAACATAAGGTGCTTAGACAGAGTGAGGCATACAGATTACACTGCATAGGTGGTGCACAAAGCAAGATCAACATTAATAAGATCAACATTATTTGAAGTTGGAGAATCCATTCATCAGTCTAATAACGGCAGGAAGAAGCTGTTCTTGAACCCATTAGTGCATGTGTTCAATCTTTTGTGTCTTCTGCCTGACAAAAGAGGTTGTAGGAGAGCATTAGCAGGGTGGTAGGGGTCTTTGATGATGTTGGCAGCCTTTCCGCAGCAACAAGAAGTGTAAATGGAGTCCATAGATGGAAGATTGGTTCCTGTGATGGCCTGGGCTGTGTGAACAACGTTCTGTAGTTTTTTTTACAGGTTTGGGCAGAGCTGTTCCTGTACCAGGCTGTTATGCACCTGGACAGTATGCTTTCTATGGTGAGGGTCCTTATGGACATACCGAATTTCCTAAGCCGCCAGAACAAATAGTTACAGCAATAACAAATCTCAGTTTTGATATAATATTAGAGAAGTTTGGATTGTTTTCCTTGGAGAGGAGAAGGCTAAAAGGCAATTAGGTAGATGATTTAAATACTATGAGAAGTCTGGACAAAGTAGAGAGTGAGATATTGTTTTAATTTGTAAAAGAATTGAGACTAATAGACTTAAAATAATGTTCAAAAGAAGCAAATTCAGTGTGAGGAAATCTCTTTCACAGTGACAACTTAGGGTCTGGGATGCAATGCCTGGAAGTATGGTGGAGGCAGGTTTAATCAAGGCATTCAAGAAGCCAGCAGATGATTATTAGAATAGAAACCATGCATAGAATTACATTAAAAAAGGGAGGAGAGCTGCACTCAGTCATAATGCCCTTCTGTTTGATGGGCCAAAAAGCCTCTGGGGTTTTCCAAGTGAAGAAATTGAGTTGTGTTGCTGTTAAAAAGGGACACTTTTTTTATATAGTACTGGGATAACTCATATCTCCTGTTTTTTTTTGTTTGGAAGGGGCGTCAGAAAAGGCAACTGTTGTCCTTTGTTAGAAAGTGTGTCATTTGGCAGGAGAACATGGTGATCAGAGCAGCCTTGAAGAGCTCCAGCTCCAGGTTTTGGAATCCTCCTCAGGGTTTCCGCTCCGACTCTGAATCCAGCTCCTGGTTTTCCTTCTCATCCGGGACAGTGTCGCCAGCGCCGAGTCTCCTGCGCTAATGGCTGACCGCTGTTGAGGAGCAGGTAGAGCCGCAGAAACACTTTGACCCGCCTCCTTCCCGAGTGAGGTTACTCGCTCTCTGACCAATTCCGGGCAAAGTGGGTGTTGGAGGCCGGACTTTGCGATTCGGGTGTCCGGGGCTCCGGAGAGGGTGATCGCTGCTTGTGTCAGTTGGGCGGCCGGGCGCCTTGTTTGTCCGTTGCTAGGCCGCTGGTGATGGAGAGGCGGCAGCCGACGGGAAGCTCAGGTGAATGCGGGGCAGCAGCGTGGGGCACGCTGCAGAGCCCGGTCAAAAGGTGTGGCTGGGCCGGGCCAGGCCAGGCCAACATGGGGTGTCCGATCCGGGAAATGTGGAGGGCTGGTATCCGGTTCGGAAAATTTATGGATGTGAATGGAGAGGGAGGGGGTCCGTCCCTGGAAATTTGCGGACGCGAGCGGGGAGG